AATACAATGCCAAGTAAAGTGCCTATAAAAAAAGTCATAAAACTATTGTCATGTGCCAGAAAAAACCAAGTTTAGCATTTTAAGTGTTTCATTTGTTTTTTTCTTCTTCTTCAAAATGTCAAATGGCCAAAAACGCCATTTGCAATTTTCCAACAACTTGTCCTCCTCCATCCATCCAAAGAATAAGGAATGCTAGAATTGTTTTTCTTTCACTGGCAGAAAAACAAGAACAATCATTTCATACGTATTTTACACCAGGCAACAAAAAAGTCTACTGAACATATGTGAAACTTAAAAGGAAATTTGATAACGGTAAAAAGATTAAAGTCCAAGGCAGGACATTGGAGGCATTAAACATAATTTACTAACAAAACATGGCACGCCAATGGCACTCAGATAAATCTGTGGTTCTCAATTAGTTCGGAATATCGAACATGTAAAAAAAGGCTAGTTTTTAAAACCAAAAATTGAAATTCTAAAAAATATATATTAGATTTGAAAATCGGCCTACATGGCCTCTCATACAACGCCACCTCCTGATTTTTGGTATTTAAAGATTTCAGCCACATTTTTCAAATCAGCTATAATTATATATAATTTGGCATTTCGAACAAAAAAAATGTTGCAAAGTGTTTTTAAAACTTAAATTACTTTGGAATGTTAACTGCAGCCAATAGCTCTACACACATACATCGTTTCACACATTCATAAATGTATGTATGTATGGTGAAAGCAAAAAAAATATTAAACTTTCTGTGGTTTCTTTTTCCCTCTTTGATTTGACAAATGAAAAATTATACTCTGCTACTTTTTCACTTGTCACAAATGACATCCTAGTTTTCATTTCATTTTTCTTCCTTTGTTGCTTTTTCCAACTACAAGAATAATTTGGTAGCTGCTGTCGCTGCTGCCAACACGTTTGAGGTACCTGTCAAATTTTGTTTTATGATCGATTGTTGTCGATGAATCATTGTGAACTGAGATGAATGTCATTTCTGGAAAATATTTGTGGCAGTGGCACATCATCATAGGTGGGGGAGTTTTCTTATGGCGTTTAGACAAGTGTTTCGCTGCCAACATAAATTAGTGCAACTATCGAAAAATCGATTTTTACTAAATTTGACGGAGACATTTTAATATTTTATACCAAACCACATTGCTATAGAAATTCACTCCATTTGGGCTGATATTAGCCATCATTTGTCCAATAAACCTGAAATCGGATTAAGGATATTTAAAAGCTATATCCAAATTTTAGCCGATCTCGATAAAACTTGGCAAAGATATTTCCAAGCTCAATAAGATATCTGGTACCAAATATCATTGTTATCGAATGCATATAACGAATGTGAGGGGCGTTATAGCTATACGTGAACCGATTTTCTACAAATTCTATGTACTTGCTTCTAGACTGAATTCGTTCAGATGTACCGAAATTCAGGACATTAGGACGTATATTGGCTTTTTGGTGCACAATTAACCCGAAATCGGTTGAAGATATGTGGGAGCTATATCTTAATCTGATCCAATTATCACAAATTTCAATAGGGTTGGTCCTCGGGCCAAAACAAATATTACTTGCAAAATCTTATCTCAATCGGGTTATAAATGCGACCTGCATTTTGTTCACAAAAATACATAGACGGATGGACTGACATGTACAAATCGACTCAGATAGTGATTCTATGAATATCTTCAGAAGTAACTATGGGTCTATCACGCTTCCTTTTCCCGGTTACAAACAAATGCTCAAAGACATAATATCCTTACCACTATGTAGTGTAGGGTATAAAAAGCATAAAATTGGTAGCCTTATGTGCCACTTTAAGCATTACCAGTAACGACAACTACAACCCTCTACATTACCGGCGCCCAAAAAATGCCAACTGCATACCCGATGCATTACCATTAAGCTAAAACATAATGATTCATTTCTAAAACAAAAAAATCAGACATATTTTTGTACCCGTATTTATTATTCATCATGTTGAGACTCTATAGGAGTAGGTCCGAAGGAGTTGGCCAATACTATCCAACTCCTCTCTGCTATATGTCTGATATAAATCTTACAACGTGCCATATTTGCACTATAGCTCGTGATAATTTGTAGAGAATGTTGAAATGTGCGTGAGATGCTAGATATACAGGGTGAGATGAAAAAAAACTGCAACCAGCTTCAAACTGCTGTCATTTCTAAGCCACTCGTCCGACAGCTCTTAAAATTATTCCAGTGATAGCTCATTATATTATTAACAAGCGCATTTTGGTGAGAATTTTCCAGAAAAAAGTTGTTCGTGATGGAATTCAAGGGTGATAGTGTGATTTCTTTATATTTGGCTGGAAAACAACAAGCGGCTATAGTTAGACCACTCCAGCATTTTAATGTGAATAAATCTTTTGTGTCTCGCTCGTTGCGGTGATACTGGTAGCGTAGCCCGACGTCAAGGAAGTGGACGTAAGAAAACAACAACATCAGTAGAAATGGTACAAAAAGAAAAGAAGCGACTTGATCGAAACCCGCGTCGCAGTGGCCGAAAAATGGATCGTGAGCTGAAAAATATCGCAATATTCCATTTGCAAATATTGAAAAATGAGCTCGGGGTAAAGTCAAGAAATTATACCGCAATAGAACGAAAATAGACTAAAAATAGCTAAAGAGTTACTTCGCTTGGCCGAAAGTGGTGAACTGCCGATTTTGGTTTTTTCCGATGAGAAAACATTCCTTGTTCAGCAGTTTGTAAACAAACAATCTGATCGTGTTTACTTGCCAAAGAGGTCAACTGAAAATGTGCAACTTCGGGTGACCACCAGAACTCAAGCACCGGCCATGGTGATGGTGTGGGCCGCCATAACAGCCGATGGACGCTCTCCGCTCGTATTAATCGATCGTGGCATCAGAATAAATGCCGAAGATTATCGCGAAAATATTCTGGAGAGTGTATTAAAGCCTTGAGCACCCAAACATTTTGGCCGCAGACCTTGGACATTCCAACAGGACTCAGCACTATTGCACTCAAGATGCGCCACGTAAGAATGGTTACAAAATGAGGTTTCTCGCTTTATTTCCAGCGCACAATGCAAACAAAAATCTCCGGATACCAATCCGTAGGACTATTGTGTCTGGAGTATTTTGGAAAGCAAGGTTGACACCAAAAAATACCAAAGTGTCGATCACCTCAAGCAAGCGCTTCGCCGGGAATGGTCCAAAATACCGCAGAGCAACATACGGACAGCGTGTGACAGTTTCATTGGCCATTTAAAGGCCATAATTTGTGCCAAAGGTGATCAATTCCAACAAATCTAAACTTATTCTAAAATTTTATGCTATTTCCGACCTTTTTTGCTTTCATTCAATAAAATTAAAAAAAAATTATGGCGTTTGACTTCGTTGCAGTTTTTTGTTTATCTCACCCTGTATACTTTCATGGGTCTGACATGAGTATTTCGAGGTATGATAAAGTTAATATACCCTCCATTGAATGGTGGAGCATGTAAAACTGAAGTGTGGTGAAATTGAACACAAATTCAACACTTGTGCTCTAAAAATGGAACGAGTTAAATTTTTGCACTTATTTGTTGGCTCTTGGTGGCAGATTGGTAAATAATTACTTCCTACTACACCTCGATGTCTCTTAAGGGGTCAGGTTACTCCTTGCTGATAGTTACTGGTGCCAAAATGTACTTGATAAACCCATTATTTGTTAATGAGGTTTTTGCTACATACTTTTATCTTACCAAGTAATGAGTAAAACCTTATGTAACCGGGAAATGTGGTAATAGTTCTAGTCAAGTTAAAATTGAATTTGCAATAATAATATTATACCCGCGAAAGAATGAAATAAGTTCTCGCGTGTGAAAGCAACATTTCTCTAAGACACCAACACCACCCCTCGCTATTTTTCTACAGAAGAAAAAATTGAAAAATAGGTCCCACACCTCAAAATAATTTGACCCATATTTTTTTTTTTTGTTGCTACCTTAATTCTGATATGTTTGCTATCGAATCACAAAAAAAAAAACTATATTGGATTAAATGAAAATTTTGAAATTTCAATGGAAGAAATTCATTCTTAAATCTACCAAAAAAAACGTGCTTTGGTATAGAGCTATACATATATGTATGTAGCGATCGATACACACATAGATAATGTGCGTCAGCACAAAAAAAAATATAAACATTCTTCATAGATTAAAGAGTGATGGGATATGAAATTATCTATTTTTGAATATCAAATTCTACAGTGAAGAGATGTTAACTCAGGTCGACTAAAAATTACGCTACGTATACTTTTTATACACGCAGAAAAATATATGTTAGAAATATGTTTGGATCCAAACATATATTTGTTTGGGACTGGTTGCAAACAAATATATTTTTGGATGCAAACATAATTTGTTTCGGTGCAAACAAATATTTGTTTGCAACATTTTGTAACATAACTCAATTTTATTTGTTGGGTACCAACATATTTTATATGTTAGAACATATTTTTTTATGGGTGCGGAGAGGATTTTTTTCAAAGAGCTAAACAACAGAGCTCTCGATTACTTTTGAGAAGTCTGTTTTTGCGTTGATGATGTGTTGGCTTGGTTGGCCGCACAACAAAGCAGAACCGAAACATTTTTTGCTCTCTTCCAAATATGACTGTAAATAGAAGTTGTATGTATGCATGAACATTAGTAAGAAGTAACGTCTCAGCAACAACTAGAAAATACACACCGCACAACAACAACAACGAAAAAACTTTTTGCATGTTTTTTCGTTGCTGTTGTGCGGTGTGAATTTTCTAGTTGTTGCTGAGACGTTACTTCTTACTAATGTTCATGCATACATACATACATGCGTTTTTCGCATTAACACCGACATATATACAGAGGAGTCAATTTTTTTGTGTGTTGTTGTTGTAACGTTTTCTTTCTCAAGTAGGCATTTTTTGGTGCATGGACAATAGAAAAGAAATAAACGTCTCAGCAACAGTTTCCAGCCCTCTTGCCGCGCACACACCACACATAGTTCCATCAGCGATCGGCAGTGTTTGCTTGGTGAGAGCAAAAGAGCGTAACATTGGCGCGTGTCTCAAGTTGAGACGCGGCAAGAGGGATGGAAACTGTTGCTGAGACGTTTTTTTCCTCTCTATTGTCCATGCACCAAAAAATGCCAACAACAACACACAAAGAGCTGTTTGGATGTTTTTTTGTTGCTGAGACGTTGCTTCTTACTAATGTTCATGCATACATACATACATGCGTTTTTCGCATACACACCGATTTGCTTGATGAGAACAAAAGAGCGTAACATTTGCGCGTGTCTCATGTTGGCATTCTGGTTGTGTTCTTTTTTTATACTTTTTATTTGTTTTGTGCCTTCGCGTCGTGTCACAAGTGTTGTAATAAATGTTGATACCAACTGTTTTGGGGGAAGACTAATTATTTGTCGAAGCGCCGGAGCCTTTAAATCTACAAAGCTTTATAAAAGCAGCCAAATTAGAGTTAAAAATTGATGCCTCAAGAAAAATAACAGCCTTAGTGTTTGGTGCAACCATTAAAGAAGACCAGTTTGAAAAAGTAATTCATCAATATATGTCAACACCTACTTTTCATATTGAGTTGCAATTTGGAGGTAAGTACACTGGATTTACAGCCTGTTTATTTATGTCGGAACAAAAAAAATTTCGTTTCAAAATAAAGAAACAGGCTGTTAATATTTTTTTTCTTTTTTTAAATAATATATTTCTTTTTTTAAATAATATATTTAATTTTCATTTAGACTCCGTTCGATCAGTGGCATCAGCATCGACAGTTAGTGGCACTCTATCGGAGTGTGAATCCGTAGGTGGTTTTGGGGATCTTACCCCAAAAACAAATGTTATTTCAACTTTAAAGACTGACATAGAGTCCATCAAGTCAATTCCGGCTGTCAACAAAATATGGAGAATTTTTATTGCCGAAAAACGCCTGCAAAATAAAGATAGGGTGAATATTTCGAAGGCCCTTATTGACGAATGTCTAAAAGAAGACCCTAACAGATTGTAAGTATTTTACTTTATTGAAAAAATAGTGATTGTAATAAAAGGAAAAATAATAAATTAATAAATAAAAATAATAACAAATATTAAGAATAATATTAATAATAATAAATTAAAAATTTTATGAAAACTGGCACGATATAAATTATAAACTTATTAACAAATGTTTATTTTATATTATCAATAACAACAATATATTATTTATAAAAATTAAAACATAATAAATTAATATTAGAAACATAAGAATAATTTTAAGCATAATAAAAATTGTAATAATTAATATAATATTAATATCAGTAATAAAAAATTGTTAAAAATAATAATATTAAAATAAAAATTCTAATTATAAAAATATTAAAGAAAATAAAAAACTATGTTTCATTATAAATTATTTATTTTCTTTAATATTTTTATAATTAGAATTTTTATTTTAATATTATTATTTTTAACAATTTTTTATTACTGATATTAATATTATATTAATTATTACAATTAATTTTATATTATATATTATAATATGTATGAATTTCTTTTATGTTAAATAAAATGTGAATATCAAAAATTGATTTTAAAACTAGTTTGCATTATGGTTGAATTATATCTGCAGTAAGTATACAAATGGACCCAATCATAAATTTATGTTTGCACCCCAATATATATTATGTTTGGGTCCAAACATAAATTATGTTTGCACCCGAACAAAAAATATGTTTGGACCCAAACATTAATTATGTTTGGACCCAAACATTAATTATGTTTGGACCCAAACATTAATTATGTTTGGGTCCAAACATTAATTATGTTTGGACCCAAACATTAATTATGTTTGGACCCAAACATTAATTATGTTTGGACCCAAACATAATTTGTTTGCAGCACCCAAACATATGTTATGTTTGGGAATGTTTGCAAACATATATTTGTTTGCTGCAAAATATGTTTGGGACATATGTTAGAGAGGCTTATATTTTTTTGCGTGTACCCACTATCTTGGAAGGGAGGGTATATTAACTTTGTCATTCTGTTTGTATCATCCCTAAATATTCGTCTTAGACCCCATAAAGTATATTTATTCATAATCAGCATAAAATTCTAAGTCGATTTAACGATGTCCGCCTGTCTGTCTATCTGTCTGTCTGTCCGTCTGTCTGTCTGTCCGTCTGTCTGTTGAAATCACGATACAGCCCACATTATTTGATGTAGAGCGCCAAAATTTAGCAGAGCAATTTGCGAGAGATATATCGGTCCACGTTTTGGTATAGTCCCCATATAACGGTACCTCCCGATATTCGGTATTTTGATGATTTTTGACATATTTTTCACGGATTTGTCTAAAAATTGCTACTTGTAGTTCGTAATGGGTTCTAACTCGTGTGGAAAACATTGTACGTAGAGGCCCACATTTTGTATAGCCCCCATATAACGATACCTGCCATTATTCGATATTTTGATAATTTTTGCACATTTTTCCACGGATTTGTCTCAAAATTTGTATTTGTAGTTTACAATGGGTTCTAGTTCCGATAGCAGAACATTGAATATTTAGAGCCACGTTTTCCTATAGCGCACATATAACGATACACACCGATATTCGGTATTTTGATAATCCTAGTCACAATTACCCACGAAATTGTTTCAAATTTGGCAGATCCTTGAAGTATAAAATTGTGTACAGAGGTTCCTGTTTTTGTATGGCCCCATGTGACGGCCTCACTCACTTTATGGTTTTGATACCCCCAGCCATATGGCTAGGGAGGGTATATATCATTTGATACGGCCAAAACATGCCTCATCGAAATAATGGTTTTGGACCCAAAACCGTTTCAGGGCATTTGGAGTCGATCTAGCGATGTCCGTCCGTCCATCTGGCTGGCTGACTGGTGTGCACCATAACTCTCGAAGGGAGTTTTCGACTTGATCCAAACTTGGTACATCGTAATATTATTGTCAAACTTAGATCAAGTTCTGAGATGGACAATATCGGTCCACTCCTTCTGGTAACTCCCCCACAAAATGTCAACATTTTCAAGGAAAAAAATTTACTGCACAGAAAAAGAAATGATAATCCGATTTTGCTCCAACTTTGTGAATCCTAATATTTGTATCAGTGCTAGGTGCGAAAATGGACAATATCGGTCCACTCCCTCGAGTACCTCCCCCCACAAAGGGTCACAATTTTGAATATTCATGAAGCTCTTAAAACACGAAATTAACATCCGATTCCATTCAGGCTTGATACATCTATCAACACAAGATCTGTTATAAAGGTGGTATAGATCGGACCATTCCATCTGGTACCTCCCCCACAAAGGGTCAAAGTTTTGAATAACCAAAACTACTATAAAATCCGAAATAAGCATCCGGTTGTCGTCATAATTCACAAATCCCCTTACTTGTACTAAAACAAGATCTGCTGTGAAGATGGTATATATCCGTCCACTATTTCTGGTAACTCCCCCACAAAGGTAACAATTTTTATTGACAAGTAAAAATTTTAATTAAGTAAAATTAAGTAAAAATTAAATTTGATTTGTAAAAAACTTTTTTTTTTTTTGTAGTTGTATTCGACAAGGTCAGTTACACAAAAGTGAAGAGCCTGATGTGCTCATAGGAAAAGGGGCTATCTCAAATATTGTATGTTTTTTCTATTCCCCCTGAGAAATGAAAATGGAAAATTTCCATTTTGCGTTTTTTTTTTTTTTTTTTTTTGTTTTGAATAACTTAAAGTATTTAAAATACCAATAACTCATTTGTAGTGGGAGGCCATAGTCGGCAAATTTTGAAAATAAAATAAATACTAAACTAAAGCATTTAAGAAAAATATTGAGTTTCTTTGGCAATCAATCAAAAAGCATGGAAATGTTTTTTTTTTTTGTTATGAATCATAGAACATAGCATATTAAATGTTTTTGCAAATGTGTTTTTTTTTTCTTTGGTTATAAAGGGGTTCTTAGATTCTTAAGTAGAATACGGCAAAGTGAAATAAAGACCTTTAGCAGGGAATACAAGAAATCAAGAAAAAAAAAAATTAAAAGGGCTACATATATTTTTAGTTGAAGATATATGATGCTAAGACATAGAAATATACAAATTGGAAAAAATGTATTTTCGAAAAAAAATATAAATAAAAATGTTTAAAGCTTGTTAATACAAAAAAAAAAAAAAAAAAAAAAAACATCAGCAGAACATTTGGGTTCATTTGGGTTCATTGCTATCTATGTTTAAAGACATAAAACTATAAAAATGGGACAAAATTCATATTTCTGTTTAATTTTTCTATAAGGCAACAGATGGCCAACAATTTGACAAAAACTCAATGCTTTGCTACTAAAAATTGTATCGAAAAATTTTGTTGCTAACAATTCTATCTGATGAGAATCCGAAATTTCAAATTCTATTCGACTTATTTGGATAATGAGGATAAATTGTTCAAAATCGGAGGTACAATAAAATGGGGGTTCCACTTAATCGTTTATCAATAAAACCAATATTCCATGCAGACCACCGAGTGTTGTTCCGAAATTTATAGCTCTACACAAAATACTGTAGAATTTATCTTGTTTTCGTCTGATGAACACACGGACTTTATTAGCTTGATTTAGAATTTTATGTTGATCAAGAATATATACTTTATGGGGTTTCCGATGGGTATTTTCAAGGGAGATCAAGGAACAAATTTCGTTGGATTTTATAAAAAAACAACAACGTCTATATTTGGATTTTAATAATGCTCTTTGGCAGCGTTCTGTTAATTGTACTGTCTACTTTTAGGCGCTAATTATGATATGTGTAGGACGTAACCCACATAATGCTATATTAGTGGTACAGAGAGATTTTTTTTCACTTGCCCAAAGGTTCTTTAATGACAACTAAATATTTCTTTTTATGAAAAAGTAACAAATATGTTCATCGAAAAAAAAAAATAGAATAATTATAGCGATTTTTAACCTATTTAAAATTTCCCTCCCAAATGCAATTTCGGATTTTTAGAAATTTACCAAAAATTCTTTAATTTATACCTTCAGCCATATGGCGACAGAGGGTATATAACATTTTATACGGCCCAAAAGTGCCTCTTAGAAATAACGGCCTCAAACCCTAGATCTCTGTGGACAAAATTCGTTTACGGACATTTGAGCCGTTCTAGGGGTGATAACTCTCGAAGGGAGCATCTGATTTGGTCCTAACTTGGTATATTGTGATATAATGGTCAAACTTAGATCTAGTCCGAAAATGAGCAATATAAGTCGACTCTTTCTGTTACATCTCCAAAAAATGTCACAATTCACAATAAAATAATTTACCTCATAAAAAGAGAAAAAATTTGGAAATCTCAACATTTTCGCTAGGTCAGGTACGAAAATGGACAATATCGGAACACTCTATCAAGTACCTCCCCCACAAAGAGTCATCATTTGAAAAAATTATAAGTCTGATAAAATGTGAAATAATACACATCTCAATATTTTATAAAAACAAGACCTGGTGCGAAAATGGGATATATCAGTCTTTCTCCCATAATGGGTCAGAAATTTGGATGGCCATAAAGCTCGTTAAACGCGAAATGAGCATTCAATATAGAACCACTCCCACCGGCACATCCGGTGGTCCCCCCGGTCCCCCCCCCCCCAAAAAAAAAAAAAAAAAAAAAAAAAACAGGTCAAAAATTTAAATAGCCATAAACATGTTGAACGCGAAATGAGCATCCGATTCCTTTAAAGCTTGTCATTCCTTGGATTGGTAGCTTTTGCAAACTAAATTACGTTGTAAAATCTAAATGATGCCTCATTCTATTTCGACGTTATTAATTTATTCAAAACAAAAAAGTGTAATAACGAAATAAGAAAACGAAAGTCCCATTATTGTAAAATTACAATGAGAAAAAAAAGTTCTCTCGCATTCACATTAAAATTCTCTATATTTGTTTGCTTTTCACACACAGAGCAAACAAATACAGTCGAGTACATTTATTGTGAAAAGAAATCAAAAAAAAAAAAAAAAATATTCGTTTCAATATTTATTGAATTAATCTTGA